GTTGAACATCAGCAAAGTGTTCCTGTTCCCCTTCACTGGTTCCTGTACAGCAGGGTCGGCCTTTTTTCACTGTTATAATCATTAAAAAGAAAAAGCAGCATGTGTATACATTCAGCAGGGACGTTTCCGTTTCCACTCCAATCCTATTTGGCCTGTGTGGACTAACGTTAACTGATTTTGATGCTCCTCAGTCTAAGGCCATTGCTATGGCGTCCCTAGCAACGGAGCAGCACAGCAGCGGTGATACCTCAAGAAAAAAACACCACAGAATTTTGTTGATTGACCAATCAGAATCAAGTATTTAAGAGTGCCATGTTCTAATTCATTGTGTAGTCCATTGTTTAACATGTTTGACATGTATGTTCTTATACTGTGGTTCTGGCAGGAGCATCTGTACAGGTTTTGTAACCTGGGTTTGAGTGTAGCTTTTCAGTAAATACAGGGCTCGACAGAGCAAGTGTTTCACAAATAGGTTCACACAAATAGGTGTGTGCGAACTGTAAAAAATATTTAGGGGCACATGTGCACATAAAAAATCAGCCGAAGCAGCCTATATTTTTGTCAATAAAAAAATATGATAATCTAACCGCAAATATTGGAGGAACTCCAGCCGCCTTCCCTCTTCCCTCTTCCCCGTGTGACACGGTTATGGGCGGTTTTCCAAGCCACTGTTGGCACAATGAATATAAGTCCCACTGTCGGCAGGGTGGAAATAAGTCAAAGTGTGGCGGAGGCAGGGACGGTTTTTGCTATGGGCAATGTGGGCGACCGCCCAGGGCGCAATCTATGTGAGGGCGCACGCCCTCCAAAAAAATCCAAAACAAAACAAAACAAAAAAACCTCGCTAGTTTTCTAGACTACTGCTCATTTCCACGTCAAGTTAGTGGAGTGGGCGCTGGGGCCCCTATTACCACGGCGGTTGTGGGTTGAACGGGGGTCACAGACAGGAATACGGCAGAGGATCATAGTGCGCAAGATAACAGCTTACCGGCGACAGAGAAGTCAGACTCCAGGTCCAGTAATTTCCTCTTTTGTTAGTGTCACGACTGCCCAGTAGTACCTGGACAACCGAGCCGTGGCGGCACATAGGTATGTGGCGTGTCAGAGGAGAAACGAGCCGTTCACATTTCTGTCTTTGTGGCAGGTAACGGTCCACGAACCTCAGCGCACTTTAGGGACTGTTCTTTACTTATGAAGGGACTGTTCTTTACTTGTCAGGGGAGGAGGGTGGCTGGTTGATTTTTATTTTATTTATTTATTTTATTTTGATCCCCCCTATGTTAATCACTTATTGATGCAGTTAGGGACCTTTCTCTACGGCCAGGCTGTCGGCTGGGTGGGAATAAGTCAAAGTGTGGCAGAGAAAAGGGACCGGGAAAAGCGGCGGACCTCCGGGGAAGCCTGCTCCGTTCTCCCCGCAGTTAGGGACCGTTCTCCACGGTCAGGCTGTCGGCTGGGTGGGAATAAGTCAAAGTGTGGCAGAGAAGAGGGACCGGGAAAAGCGGCGGACCTCCGGGGAAGCCTGCTCCGTTCTCCCCGCAGTTAGGGACCGTTCGCCACGGTACCGCTGCTGGGCAGGGTGGAAATAAGTCCTGCAGAGTTTCAGAGGACCTGGAGAATGTTTTAGGATAGTAATAACATTATATAAGATAATCATGTTGCAAAGATAATATACAGTACAGGCCAAAAGTTTGGACACACCTTCTCATTCAATGCGTTTTCTTTATTTTCATGACTATTTACATTGTAGATTCTCACTGAAGGCATCAAAACTATGAATGAACACATGTGGAGTTATGTACTTAACAAAAAAAGGTGAAATAACTGAAAACATGTTTTGTATTCTAGTTTCTTCAAAATAGCCACCCTTTGCTCTGATTACTGCTTTGCACACTCTTGGCATTCTCTCCATGAGCTTCAAGAGGTAGTCACCTGAAATGGTTTTCCAACAGTCTTGAAGGAGTTCCCAGAGGTGTTTAGCACTTGTTGGCCCCTTTGCCTTCACTCTGCGGTCCAGCTCACCCCAAACCATCTCGATTGGGTTCAGGTCCGGTGACTGTGGAGGCCAGGTCATCTGCCGCAGCACTCCATCACTCTCCTTCTTGGTCAAATAGCCCTTACACAGCCTGGAGGTGTGTTTGGGGTCATTGTCCTGTTGAAAAATAAATGATCGTCCAACTAAACGCAAACCGGATGGGATGGCATGTCGCTGCAGGATGCTGTGGTAGCCATGCTGGTTCAGTGTGCCTTCAATTTTGAATAAATCCCCAACAGTGTCACCAGCAAAACACCCCCACACCATCACACCTCCTCCTCCATGCTTCACAGTGGGAACCAGGCATGTGGAATCCATCCGTTCACCTTTTCTGCGTCTCACAAAGACACGGCGGTTGGAACCAAAGATCTCAAATTTGGACTCATCAGACCAAAGCACAGATTTCCACTGGTCTAATGTCCATTCCTTGTGTTTCTTGGCCCAAACAAATCTCTTCTGCTTGTTGCCTCTCCTTAGCAGTGGTTTCCTAGCAGCTATTTGACCATGAAGGCCTGATTGGCGCAGTCTCCTCTTAACAGTTGTTCTAGAGATGGGTCTGCTGCTAGAACTCTGTGTGGCATTCATCTGGTCTCTGATCTGAGCTGCTGTTAACTTGCGATTTCTGAGGCTGGTGACTCGGATGAACTTATCCTCAGAAGCAGAGGTGACTCTTGGTCTTCCTTTCCTGGGTCGGTCCTCATGTGTGCCAGTTTCGTTGTAGCGCTTGATGGTTTTTGCGACTCCACTTGGGGACACATTTAAAGTTTTTGCAATTTTCCGGACTGACTGACCTTCATTTCTTAAAGTAATGATGGCCACTCGTTTTTCTTTAGTTAGCTGATTGGTTCTTGCCATAATATGAATTTTAACAGTTGTCCAATAGGGCTGTCGGCTGTGTATTAACCTGACTTCTGCACAACACAACTGATGGTCCCAACCCCATTGATAAAGCAAGAAATTCCACTAATTAACCCTGATAAGGCACACCTGTGAAGTGGAAACCATTTCAGGTGACTACCTCTTGAAGCTCATGGAGAGAATGCCAAGAGTGTGCAAAGCAGTAATCAGAGCAAAGGGTGGCTATTTTGAAGAAACTAGAATATAAAACATGTTTTCAGTTATTTCACCTTTTTTTGTTAAGTACATAACTCCACGTGTTCATTCATAGTTTTGATGCCTTCAGTGAGAATCTACAATGTAAATAGTCATGAAAATAAAGAAAACGCATTGAATGAGAAGGAGTAAGAAAGGTAAGAAGGTAAGAAACTTTTGGCCTGTACTGTATATAAGATAATAACATTAAAGACAAAATTAAATTGCAATACTTTTCAAAACTTGATGATTTTACCTTTCTGTACATTTTGTGTACAAATTCATTAAGTAATTTTGCTTGTAAATGTCTATTTGCATCACGTTTATTATGGAAAACACATTATTTGATCAATTTACATTGTGCCCCTAAAGTTCTTTGGGTGCTCCTTACTTTTTAACTTAGGAGCACATGTGCTCCTTGGGAAAAAAGTTAGCGTTAAGCCCTGAAATACGTTGAAAAAAAACTTTCATATGACATATTGATGTTTCTTTATTTCTTCACTCTTCCCATCACATCATTCACATTAATCAGGTCCACCTGAGCATTTAAAACAAACATGTCTTTCTGCTCCGTAGCTTTCCCCTCTTCCAAATGGACCAATATTGCACGCACAGCCTTTTCAACTATTGTTTTTATAAACAATATTTTACCACTAATTTTTATATATATGTAATTATGTACTCAGAGGTGGGTAGAGTAGCCAAATATTGTACTCAAGTAAGAATATTGTTGCTTTAAAACAATATAACTCAAGTAAAAGTAAAAAGTATTTTGCATTAAAACTACTCTGAAAAGTACAATTCTTCCAAAAAGTTACTCAAGTAAATGTAACTGAGTAAATGTAACTAGTTACTTCCCACCTCTGCTGACATTAGAGCGCATAGTATCAGTGTTGTTTCTACTGACCACTGTATGTCAGCAACGAGTTTGCTACGTCTCACAAGCTCCCTGACCTCTTTCAGTCTAATAAATACATTAATAGATACCTCTGTTAAATGCCACAGCCATAAACAACACAACAAGCTAAACAGCTGTCACTAACGGACCTGTCAGTCTCTCAGGTCAAATTTCATACTGCTCACTGCTGTGGGTGTGTGCTTTGTGCTAAAATTAGCTGCGGTTAGCTGCTGAACAAGAGGCTATAGCCACACAGCAGCTCTTGTGCCTTGGTACAAGTGCTTAGCTGCTAAGGAGAGTCTGTAACTGAGCGGCAGCTTGTTCTTTGGCTCAGTGTGTTTTTATTCACCACTCTCTCTCACGATCACACTCATAATTCACAGTGAAACCAAAGTAGCTCCAAACACCAGACCTGTAGGTTATCAGGGGATCTTCTCTTTCTGCTCTGATAACGGTGTAACTATTTTGCAATGAGCTAGCTTAGTGTAGCTGCCCCTCAGTGTGTCTCTCAGGAGTAGAATGTTCTGGTTTGAGTGTGGGAGGGGCAGACAGCACGTTGCCTGTTCCGTCCTGTGGGCTACCTTGTTGAGGGCAGTGGCACTGAGAACATTATATAAAACACAGTTTAGCTTGTAGATTTTGTTTTCCAAATGTAATAGGATAATTCAGCATTCAACCAAAAGCCTCATACCGAACAGTTTAATACAAATACGTTTATTGTTACACCCCTACATGCAATGCTTTATTCAGTGTCAGGAACTCTCCAGATAGGCAGTTTGTGATTCTCAGCAAAAATGAATGGTAGCATAACCACATTTTATTGTCTAGAGTAACAAACGTTACTGGTTTGCTTTGTTTTGATTTTAAAATTGTCAGGGGAGTGAGCTGTGGAGTAAAATAAATCCATCATCATGAAGTGGTTGTATAAACTGAACATATGTTTGATAATGAATCTCATCTCCCTTTGCTTTGCAGTGGAAGTGGAAGCAGAGGGGATGAGTGGAGTCCAGTTCTTCTTCACCCTGCTCTTCTCCATCCTGGGCCTGGGTGTGCTGGCAGTGGTAGGGCTAATTGTTTATGGGCGCTGGAAAGAAAACAGACGCAAACGATTCTATTGATCAGAGAACAACTGTTGGTTTTCAGAATGTATGTTTTTTTTGATCATCATAGATAAAGATAATGCAAGAGCTGCCATAGTTTTACTGAATCATATGATTGAATGAACTGAATAAACAACCTCATGGGTCTAAAGACCAGAGCCAAGAGAACATTTACAGCTGAAGAAGAAAACAGGGGAGCCAGCTGTAAAATTTTCCTGTATATTTTGTGTGTGTGTGTGTGTGTGTGTGTGTGTTATGGAATATGGTTGGGATATACCTGCTCTAGTGGAATTTCTTAAGATCCTTCTTAAAATGTTAAAATGTGCTCATCTCAACTGAAAGCACAGTAGGTTTTTAACAACTGCACTAAATTAGACACTATAGATCTCAAATAGTTGATGATACGAGTTTCTAGTGTCTGTCGGATCACTTCTCCCCAACCAGGAAGAGACAAACAAAAACCTCAGAATCAATTCCCAAAGTTGTTTTATGACATGTTCCAGTATACTGTGGTATTGCAGTTTAAAGTGTAGTTACCTCTTACTGCCAGTTGGTGCTGCCAGCAATTTTAATCTTACATGGAACTGCTGTGGAAACCAATCAATCTGTGGATTATTGTGGACTACTTCTTACTGCACGAGTCAACTTGTACTGAGCTCCCATGTATTGAGAGCAAACACTCAGATAAGCTTAAATGGATTTGTGTCAGCAGTTAGTAAATGTGTATGGTTAGTGAAGCATCATTCTCAGTGTTGTACATTAGAGGAAGGATTTGAGTGCCATTTGAAGTGCCTAGCTAGGACCAATAAAGACAAGCTCTGACTTTATTTTCCTCTATGTATTTTCTGTTTGACATCACAAGTCATTTCTCTTTGTTTGCTTTCTGCATTTGCAAAGGGTTCTCAGGTATGTTCAGTTGAAGTAAAGGTTTATCCAAAACCTGTTTGTCACTGTTGTGCATCAGATTTTTAGCACCAGTTTTTATGTTGACAAAATTAAACTTTTTTGTGGGACTCGATTTCATCAGACCCACTAATACAAAGATGTTGTTTTATCATCTAATTCATCTGTGATTATGTGACTTTAGACTGTTTCTTTAGCATGCACTGCTATTTAAGTCATGTTTTAATAGTAATAGCAATGGTCATGAATTAAAATATGAGTTTGAGATCATTGAAGAGTATGTGAATATGAATATTGTTTAGATGTTTAACTTAAAATAGATGTGAAGCCATCACAAAAGCTAGTGCCTGGCCCCTGGTGTCCAATGGATGCAGCTGCCTGAAACCATCCAGTAGCTTTCTACCTGCTGTGCCAGTGTCCATCAGACTGGTGACCAGTTACTTTTTTTTAGAGGCAGAGTGAGATACTGGTATCATGTAAGAGTAGAAGACCTAAGGAATCCCTTGGTACCCTCCATGTCATGCTAGCTTGTTGGGTAAGTTGTTAAATAACGCTAAAGTCAGGCTAAATTTTTGATGAGGGAAAAAATGACATGGTCATTTCACAGAGGTCCATGGCCTCCCCTTTACAGAGATAATAATAATAATTATAATAATAATAATAATAATAAATTTTATTTGTAACGCACTTTATATTTAACAAAAAATCTCAAAGTGCTACAACAGCAAGAAAAGAAAAAAATAAGTTAAAACAAGAGTTAAAAGCAGTTATCAAAGTAACACGAGCAAAAATTACAGATTAAAAGATTTCCATTTTATGCAAATTATGCAGTTTCGGGCAAACCAATGCCATTTTTCTCATGCAGTATGCAGGTGTCATTTGATAAACGGTAAATGGACTGCACTTGGCACAGCACCTTTTAAGTTTTCCGACCACTCAAAGCGCTATAACATTACATGTCACATTCACCCATTCACGCACGCATTATATTTATATTTATTTCTTTATAAGGAATTTTTATACATTAATCAACATTTCTGTAAATGTGCCAGTGTGAGCCAGCTGGATTATTTTCAACTGCAGTCCTTTGGTAGGATGTTTTGAAACATGAATGCAGTATCTTGCCCAAGAATACTTCCACATGCAGGCTTGAAGAGCCAAGGATCAAACCACCAATCCTCCGATTAGAGAATGACCCACTCTACCTCTGAGCCACAGCCAGAGGTAGAGTGACTCATTTTTCGATCTGTATTTCTGCATACTGGGGTCCCTAAACAGACGTGGAATTTCATAAATTGTGTCTGACAGGGAAGTTGAGATGCCTGTAGATTCAGTGAGCCCAGGTGTATTCATTTGTGATGATGTTAGTCTCCACAGTAGCCAATACATTGTATTGAGACCATTTCTTTGAAATGGACATCACTGTATACAATGACCTACAGTGACCTTCAGGATGATCACAGCCTCATGAGCCAAACAGTCAAAAACTAGAGACCTTAAGCATTCAGAGGATGGATGGCTTTCATAGGTATATTGACAATAAGGGGGTTCTCAGCAGTTTCCAGAACAGAAGTACTCGCCATTGCTTAAAAAATATGCAGTTCTCATGGACATTTCTAAAAGTCCAAAGTTTGATACCAAATCACAGCATTGATTTTTCTATGGTGTTCCTCAAGGTCTTTGTGTCATAACGAGGTATTTTGGGGGGGGATTTTTGACCATTTTTTATCAGTTTTCAAGTGGTCAAATGTTTATATTTAGCACCAAATGTGTAACAACTGGTATCAACCCAAAAAAATGCTGCAGCAACCTATGAGACATAATTGAGCATGGACTGGCTGTCATGTACTTCCGTTATAATATTCCGAGTACCTATACACTCTAACTTTCATAGTTTGAAAGATTGTCTATCCAAAACACAGTGTTTGTTACAGAAGAAAAACTCGACACAGTGTGCTGAGCTGCACCTCAAATTGAGCTGATGTATATCACTTCTGTGTGTTGAGTACTGTTGACCTGCAGCCCTCCTGAATATCCCCAGCCCCCCTAAAAAAACCAAAATGGGTCTCTGGTACGTAGGGTGGAGTAGAAGAGGTTGAAGAGTGACTTCCCACTGAATCCATTTCCTTGAGTCAGCAGGTCATATGTAGTGTCATTTTATCACACTGTCCATCAATCCTGGTCCTATTCTACAATGTTCATTACAACTGTTGGGAATCAACATATATTTACCTCACATGGTGGCACCAAATATGTTGGGGTCAACACCTTAGGCTTCACACGGAGGCACCAAATATGTTGGGGTTAAATTGGCTATCCGAAATAATTAATAATTATTATTAATAATTAATAATTATGTTAAATAATGTGACTTAATTAACATTAAATCACCTCATGGGGCACCATTCCCGTAAAGGGAAAAATGATAGCCAGTTAAAGATATCAGTCTCATAAAATAGGCGAAACTATTAATTTGGAGTTTGATTAATAATTAAATTAATGACAACAATCAAATTTAACAGTAACGCCTGAAGGATTTCGGAGTTCTTGACGCAGCAGAGGTTGACTATTCGTTCACCCTTGTGCAACATTAAACAGACAGCAGGTATGATTCCAAAGAATTATATTTATTCACAAATTAGCAAAACAAACCAAAACACACAAATTCTAACTAACTATATACAATCTTGGTGTGTGTGTGTGTGTGTGTGTGTGAGTGAGAGAGAGAAAAGAGAAAGACAAAGGCGGATGTGGTGATCAAGTAGCCGTTTGGCCTACAAAACAAAATGGCTGACAACAGCGAACTACCAAAATGGCCGAATCAAGGCTGGCTTCCGGTTGGGGGAGGTGTCTGTCTGACCGTGTGGTCAGGACAAAGACAAAGGAAAACAAGCGGGAACCTTGAAATGCCTGTTTGGATGTAGCTCTGTTGAAAGCCTATTTGTTAATGAGTCTATGTCAATGTGACGTATGTTGCAAACGGTCTGGATTAGTGCAGAGATTGTTTAGTTGTGTGCAAGAATCTGTTTGTGAACAGTATTAGCAAACTAAACACTTAGCTGTGGCGAAGCCAACTAATCAATGACCTAACTGCAATCTATCACAGCAATAACTCAGTAAACAGCATCAAATCACATACAACAAGTTATATAGTCTTGCTTAGCCTGTAAAGCTGTGATAAGCTATGCCCAGTTGTTACATTACCGATCCTTGAGTGGATGGAAAAAAGAGTCACTTGGTGGTGGTGCTTTGTTAGCCGGCAGAAGAAGGCTGGGAAGATGGTTCCAGCCGCAGTCTTTGTTGGGTCCTTTGTTCCAATGGTTCTGATCTGAGGAAGCTGGTCGCTCGGGGTCCTTGCAGAGTTAGACGCTGGGTGCTAACTCACTTAGTTCCTTGTTGCTGGAAAGCTGGTTTGCAAATCTTGTGTTTGCCAGAGAGTCTGTGATCAGTTGCCCTCCCTTCAGTGGTTTGGGCTATGGAGCAGGGGTTCGGGCCTCTGCTGTCCAGGCCCAAACGGGAAGAGATGTGAGCTGTTGAAGCTCCTGGCGCAAGAAGAGCACTGCTCCATGGTTGGAGCAGAGAAGAGGAAGGGAACAGACCTGGTACAGATGCCTGTGACATCACAGTCACATGTCACTGTAAAAGGTCTTGTCCAATCAAGTTTTGGGACTTGAGTCTCACTGATACCCCGTTTACACATAGGAAAAACGCACATATTTTCATGCGGTTTGGCCTCTTGTTCACACTCAAACGGAGTTTTTTTTCACGGAAAACGATCATTTGTAAAAACTCTGGCCAAAGTGGAGATTTCTGAAAACGCTGTTTATGTGTTGCCGTCTAAACTGGGTGAAACGGGGTTTTAGGTTCTGAAACGTCACAGCATGCGCCAGCAAATGCTTGACATCTTGTGAGCGACCTATGTTTACACTTTGTTTGGCTACTGATCATGGATGCTATTAAGGTGGTACTCATTTTTACGTTTGTGCAAATGCTTTGTTACGGCCTTTTTCCACCAGATGCGTGTCGGTTGCGTCTCCGCTCCGGCGCGGCAGCAGAGCCGATAGGATTAAATTCTAGTCAATGTGTGTGTTTCCACCGGCTACGGCTGTGCTGCGTTTCAGCTCCGTCTCAGCTCCGGCACTCCAGAGCAACAGACACGCAGGACTTCTATTTTTGCCGGACGCTGGAGCACAACGCAGCAATTCGGTACAGAGCAGATCGTGCGGGGCAGGAAGTCGTGCACACAAACAAAATAAAACATCCGGTTAATTTTCAAAATAAAATACACAGTGTTCACGGCGGATCATATTTCCCTACACTACACCTTGAAAACTACATAATGGGCAGAGGCAGGCCTGAAGTCAACAGTTCAGAGGTTTTCAGACATCATTTCACCCCGTTGACACCATGGATGAGGAGATATTAATCATGGCAGTGCACCGAGATGTCTTCTGGCGGAGCTGCACCGCTCCGCACAGCAAATACAGCCGGTGGGTATTGACGGACGGCAGGAAGGAACAGGAAGTCGCGTGTCTCGTTGTTGTTGTTGTTGTTGTTGTTGTCGTCGATTCTGAGGATTCTGATTGGCTTGCATGGCATCATCCTTCTCCCTACACTGCCGCCCATAGGTTTGGCATAGTTATGACGTCGCTCGACAGCGTATTTATCTGGGTTCATGTAAATGACAACATTTTTGAAAACGATGTTGTGTGCACAATGTTATTATTGAAAACGGAGGGGGGGGAAATATTCATTTCTCTAAATACCCAGCTATGTGTAAACGTGGTGTAAGGTGTGAGGTGAGACCTCCTGTGGAGATGGGTGCCACTTAGCTCTCTTTGTTTGAAGACAAAGAGCATGCAGAGGAAAAAGCCTTGAAATCAGTGATGATTTTACCAAATGATAAATCATCTGTGGTCCTGTGAATCCCAACACAAGTTATCTTCCCTTTTGTCACTCATTTCTATCCACTTACTCTACTCTTTGAAATGAAACTCAGTTAAAGCACAGCCACAAAGTATCCTAAATGAGCTGCAAACATGTTTTTCAGTATGGTTGTAAAACAAAAAATGTTCTAAACAAATAACTTTAATTATATGGGAAATGTGCCTCCAGCTTCTGGAGATGCTCCACTTCTGACACATTTACAGTGTACATCTAAAGAGCAGTGGAGGGGGCACTACTGTATCCACTGGACACAAGGGCATAGATTTTTCACAGCAGACTTTGGGACTTGTCATAGTAGGGAAGGTTACTGATATCATAAACGACAGTTCTGTTCTATTGAAGTGTCCCAGTTACCGTGACAGTGAGCTAGCATGCACTAAACCAGGACCCTGAACCTGACACAGTTCATTTTATCATTACATGATAACATGGGCATGTCATCGATATCAGCCAATATTCAGCCAACATGCATTTTCTTATTTTGCACCATGTGTCCATGTGCTGGTGGGCCATCACGATAAAAGTATGCATAGATAATATGATGTTAATACCACAACAGAAGAGACTTGATGATCACTAACATTAGGTGGGGAAAAAAGTGGATATATTGATATCGATACTGGTTATCTGTCAAATGAGTTGTTACATATCGGCATATTGGATATTGGCAAAAAATCCAATATTGTGCACCCCTACAAAGGAGCATCCTTGAAACACTCAGTTGTTCACAAGCAAGGATGGTAACTTTGTGAAAAACTGTGGGCAAACAGTCCAACAATTTAAGACCAACAATTCTAAAAGCATGATCGCAAAGAATTCAGACGCCCCCGTGTCTCAGAGCAGAGAGTACTCACAAATCTGAAACCTAATTTTTTTTACTCACAATGGGCCTCATTCACAAACAGTGTGTACGCACAAATCTGTGCTTAAACTGTGCATACGATCGTTTGACGCACAAATCCGGGATTCATCAATATTTTCTTACCCGAATTTGTTCTTACTCTGCGAACAAATTTAGAGCTGCCTCAGACCATGCATACGCACAAATGAGGATGGCCGAACTGACTTAGAAAATGCAAACACATACCTTTTAAGTACATGCAGAGTCTAAAAAACCACATTCATTAAAAAGAGATTTAATTAACATTTTTTAAAATCATTAATTTACTAATATTGGCCAAATGTATTAAATAACCATGAAATTGACACACGTTCACCCTCATCATTGTGACAATTAAAATATTAACAACAACATGAACAGAAAAAACTATCACTCCATCAACGTGCAGATGATCTGTAATGCCAGCTGCCATATCCTTAATGCTGTGGCCCGCTGGCCACGAGGCACCCACGACTCATTTACTTTGCAAAACAGTACAGTGGGAATGCGTTTGGAGGCAGGGGCTGTGAGAAGTGGATGGCTTGTTGGTGAGCATCTTTTGTTCTAGTCTTTTATTTCAATTGTTTTTAGTTAGTATTTTTAGTAAGTCTCTATTCAGTTAATGCTAAAATGTTATATTGTTTGGGTGACCGGGGATATGGCCTTAAAACATGGCTGATGACACCATATGCAAACCCTGAAACCCCTCAAGAGGTGCGCTATAATAACATACATGCCCACACACGCGCCGTAGAGCGCACTTTTGGCGTGCTTAAGGGCCGTTGGATGTGTTTGGATCGGATACAGCCGGTGGCAAACTACTTTAAACCCCTGAGAAGGTGTGCAAGATCATCCTGGCATGCTGTATCCTACACAATCTTACAATGACCCATGGCATTCCTGTAAGACCCGGCGCCATTGCTTCTAACAAACTGTGAAATTTACTGCTTCTCTCCTCGCATAACCGCTTCCTTCATTCATGAATCAACTCTAGGCAAGCGGTTTCCTTATATGGAGAAATGGGGGCGTGGTAGTATGCTAATCACAAATTGCGAGCACGCACCTGTCAGTTTAGAATGATAATGATTCACACACATACGCAAGGTGGTGAGAACAAAATTGGCCGGTGCGCAGGTGTCATGAATCCCACAGTGATTTTGAGTGCAGGTACTAGACTTACCTGCCTGCAGGTAAGTCTAGTACCTGCACTAGACTTACCTGCCTGCAGTCCAGACTTGTCTCCCATTGAACATGTAGCACATTATGAAGCACAACATATGAAAACAGAGACCCTGGACTATTGTGCAACTGAAGTCATATATCAAACAAGAATGAGAAGAATTTCACTTTCAAAACCTCAACTTTCAAAACCAATAGCATTGGTGGCTTAGTAGATAGAGCAGGCGCCCCATGCACAAGGCTGTTGCTGCAGCGGCCCGGGTTCAAGTCCAGCCTGTCGTCCTTGGCTGCATGTCATTCCCCCTCTCTCTCTCCCTCCTTCACACTTGGCTGCCCAGTCCATTAAAGGCAAAATGCCCCAAAAAAACAAAAAACTCAATAGTTAGTGTTCTCAGTTTGCAAACACTTACTGAGTGTAGTTTTAAGTAAACACCATCTTTATATGTGTCTCAGGCATCAAATTCAGAATGAGTGTATATACACAAAAAAACAATAAAGTTTATTAGTTTGAACATTAAACATCTTGTCTGTGTACTTTACTCTATGGAATATATCAATCAATTCAATTTTATTTATAAAGCCCAATATCACAAATCACAATTTGCCTCACAGGTCATAAAGGATTTGCAAATCATTGCAATTTGTTTTTATTTACATTTTACACAATGTCCCAACATTTTGGAATCAAGGTACAGTTTTTGAGTCAATTTGAAGTAAAGATGTGTGAAAAAATGCAGCTCAATGAGGACTCAAATTGCTTAAATTGAAAAAAAAAATTTCTGCATTTTTAAATTAAAAGAGTATTCCAGTATAGCAATATTCTCCTTAAATATGTTACACAGAATGATGATGGACAGTATTCTTCTTCCCTGGCAAATCCTTGACCCAGCTGATGCTGACTTGAGTGACATCACTTGAGGACATTTATCAGACTTCACATCAAAGACGATGGATAAACCAAGACAGTCCACTGCTTGTCAGTTTCCTGTATCAGTGTCACGTGGGGTTCGCGACCACCACACCCCTTCAAGTCTTGAGTTCATTGACTTCAGTGGGAGAAATGAACGTGATTACAGATTATGGCCGATTCTTTCGCCCCATAGTCACGGAAGCAAATATTGGACCCATTTATCACAAGCCACATATCTTCAGAACATTCCGACACCAAAATGGCAAATTTGAGACGGACAAATCAGGAGAAAATTTACTTTGTTCAAGACTTGTCTCTGTCTCAACAACACACTCTCACAAGATCTGGCAACAGATATCTCCTCTCTGGTGCTGCAATCAGTGCAGTTTCACCAAAGATACTGGATTAAAAAAATATTTTTTCCAGCGGATATCTTCACAGGACGGGTTGTTTTAATTGACTGAGTTGATCATTAAGCCATAGTGATGCGTGGATCGGCTCTGATAGCACCTGAATCAGCATGTACGCATCAACCATCCAGCCGTTACAACATGATTGAGCTAGCAAAGCAGTTTTGTGTTGCTATGTGTGGTATTTATTCAGTTTTGGGAAATCACGATGTCTAGAAAGCATCAGTGGCTGCAGCTGACAGGGACAGCTAACAGCAGCAGCAAAGCTAACATCAGGACGTCATCTGTTAAAAGCCTCTCGTTGTCGGATACGACATGAAACTACTCCAGTTAGCTCAATCATGTTGTAACTAAGACATCCATTTATTTATTTAGCTTACGGCCAGTAAGGGTACACACGTTGACAGAAGCGAGGTTGGGGATACTCGTCTTTGATTGGCGGTTGTCCATCGTCTTTGATTGGGGTACAGGGGACAACGCCCACTTAGGAGACCGGAAATGTATACCATTTCATACAATGGGAGTATATTGTAGGTGGGCCATCTTGTAGTAATCCAGTATCTTTGTTCACATGGCTCCCTCTTTCTCTCCAAGACACTAAAGGCTTTATACCACTTATACAATTGGACTCCCCAATGCTTGGAAACAATGGAGATTTATTAGCAGGCTCCATTACTGTTGTCCTTCCATAAAGTTTACTGCTTTTTCTATTTTCCTCCAGTTATCTAGTTAGGTACTTTTTCTTTTTTCTAATCCAAATCCTCATCTGACAAAAATGTAAGTAAGGATGGTCTTGTTGTGCTCCTGTGTCTGACTTTTTTTGTTTATTTATTTCAAGTAAAGTTTCTATTGTGATATTGTTCATGTGATAATGTATTTCTTGTCTCTCTCTCTCTTTGACCATTTTTTTTTATGAACACTGCATGAATGCTTCAGATATTAAAAACCAAGATTGTCAGATGCGTGAAGTTGTTTGTGGTTTTGTATTTACGCCTAAAAATTCACCCAAAATGTGGAATACATTAGCTGTGGAAAGTATTCAGGGGGGTATTCCATCAACGTAGCTAAGAATATCCAGACTAAGGTGTAATCTTGAGGTCTGGCTAAACGCCAACTCCAAATCTAGCGCCAACCCGTTCCATCAAGTGAAATCAGCTGGCTCCAACTGACGCTAATTCAAGCCTCACCTGTTACGCCTCAACTCATGCACGCGCCCAGGGAAAATAAAAAGCCCACACTAGTCAAGTGCAGAAAATGTTACAAAATGTCAAAAAGCAAAGGAAAGGAGCGAGTAGAGGCTTTTTCTGCGGCGGAGCAAACGCTCCTTATGGAAGTGTATGAGGACTATAAGGACATAATTAAGAAAAAGGCAATACTGCAGTAATTAATGAAGCAAGGGAGGTGGTGTGGCAGAATATCGCCGACAGGCTAAATGCGTAAGTGAGAAAATTTAGCATTTCAGCATAATATCATGTTATATAAATCCCACATCAAAGGGACAAAATATATGTAGATAAGAACACTTATTAAATCTAACAATTCAAGTATGCCTAATGAAATTCACCAAATGTGTAAATTAATATTAGTGTAGACTATGTATCACATTTATCTACTGATTCCTATGTAAATTTCAGATCATGCATTTAATCAAACTATTTTATGTGAATCATCGCATTTATCACATAATTGATTATAGATAACATTTCTGAAATGATCAGTTTATAGGAAATAATCACATGACATTTATCTATTGATTGTAGACAATTACATACAGCAAATCCCTCAATTCAGTGGAGATGAGGAAACCTATTAAGTGAATGCAGGTGATAGTGAATCAATTATCTATTTCTTTTTTGTTTTTTCTTTTTTTATATATATTTTATTCAGGAACATTACTTGAGTACATACAGGTTAACTCTTTGACAAAACATAAACTAGCTAGTAATGCTCCTTTTTTCATAAACAAGACAAACACAACCACCAACAACAACAAAGAAACACACCTCAGACAAATACACACACAAAAAAAACATTATTCCTGTTCCCCCAACCTGTCCCATCCATCAGGTCACCTCTCCAAATACACACAACATCACTTCTGCACAGTATACATCAATTATGCAATCAAAAGATAAGTTACAAAAAGACTATAATTTTGGGTGAATTCATACTAAACAATAATACATTGGCCCTTTCAATTCATTCTATTTAAAGTTACGAAGAGAGAAAAAAGAAATTAAATAAGAAAAGGAAAAAAAAGACTAAACAATGACTCAGTTTGTCATCAGGCAGATAAATCCCCCCGTGAGAGGGTAACCAGATCATCTGGAAGGTAGCTAAATAGAGGTTTCCATAACTCATTGAAAATGTCTTGGCTACCCTTGGCTCTAGCACAGAGTGTCTCCATTGGCAATACCATAAATATTTCCCGGTACCACTGAGAAATTGTAGGAGGATAATCCATGATCCAATTAAAAAGTACACATTTTCTGGCCAAAAAAAACAAACATTTTTTTAAGAAGCAAATATAAGAAGTATTAAGAGACAGATTCTTATCAGGCAGATTAAGAGGCCGTTTACACGTACACAGTGATTTTGATAAACGGAGACATCTTCCTTCATTTGTGCCCTTCGTTTACACGCAAACAGAGATTTCTCCTCTGAAAACGAGTCTTTCTAAAAACTCTGGCCAGAGTGGAGATTTTGGAAAACTCCAGTTGCGCGTTTGCATGTAAACTGAGATAAACGGAGATAAACAGAGTTATAGGCAGCCGATGTCACAGTATGCACCGGAACTTGTGCCTGTGTCAAAAGTGTGACCTATGTTGCTATGGTGACAATGGATACATGGAAGGCTTGAGCTTCTCGTTACACTGCCACCTACAGGTTTGGCATGCTCTTGTGTATGTATATACACGAGTAAGTGTAAACAAAGATCTTTTTGAAAACGGAGACGTGAAATGTCTGTTTATCCGGCAACGTGTAAGGAGAAACAGACCTGGGGCCGTATTTATCAAGCGTCTTAGAGCACCATTTTAGTCTTAAGTGATGAGAATTTCTGAAATTTAGTCCTACTCTCAAACTTAAGAATAAAAGCTATTTATCAGCCTTCTCAAGTCTAAGAATCACTCCTACTCCCCCAGATATTTAAGAGACCTCCAGAGGTGTCCTAAGTCGTTAGTAGTTGCCAGTAGAGGATGGCACTGAGGCGAGAGAGACATGCGTGAACGTTCCGGGAGCGGAAAGATGTCCTGGCTTTGTTTGATGACGTGCAGCTGATCAAACGGTATCATTTGCACAAAGCGGGTATTATTTTTGTCACAGATTTAATAAGGGACATCATCTCATCAGTAACATCACGCAGCAGAGCTTTCACGGCAGAACTAAAGGTCATCACAATGCTTCGATATCTCGCCACTAGAAAAATGCAACAGTGTAATGCTGATGATTTGGGGCCATCACAACCGTCAATTAGCAGAATTGTTATGGAAACAATAATGGCCCTTAATGCTCCTCACCTCGTCATGCATTTCATTGACTTCCCAACTACACCCCGGGTAATTCAACAGAAGCAAACTGCATTCATGCAAATAGCTGGCTTCCCTGGAGTGGTCAGTGCAATCGATCATGGCACACATATTAGGATCATTGCTCAAAGCGTGGACAAGAGCGTTTATGTAAACAGGAAGAGGTACCACAGTATCAACACGCAAGTAGTGTTTGATGCAGACTACAACATCTTGGATGTGGTACCCAAGTGGCCTGGGTCCACCCATGATGCAAGGATCCTAAATGAAAGTGGCCTGAAGCAGCTGTTTGAGAGGCACATTATGCCACCTGGGTGTCACCTAATTGGGGATTCTTACCCCTTATCAGATGCCACAGACACAACGCCAAATGAACTATAACAGCGAACGAAATGCCTAATTGTTTTAAATTTAAAATGTTTAATTAAGTTTACAGAATATTGTTTAATAGGGGGGTTTATTCTTGTCACAGGGCACACAAAAGCACAAGAAAAGTGGTGTAGAGAGTGGGATTGGCCAGTGGAAGCGCAGATTCCACGTTCTGCATTCAGAAATATGGCACACTCCAGACAGAGTGTGCCGCATCATTATGGCATGTGCAATACTGCACAACATTTGTAAGGCGCGCAATGTCCCACTCCCACCAGCAGACGATGATGATGACGATGAGGG